AATAATAACTTTATTATTGCCTCTAGGGCATATTTCCTTCACAAAAGTATCGTCAAACTGTGAAACAAATTGATCAACCATGAGTGCACACACTATTGACCATATATATATATACAACCCGTCTATTCTGATAATATTATCAGAATAGTTATTCTAATAACACTTCTGCACTGCATGCTCAACGCGAGGGCACTGTACTTTCTTTAGCAAGAGCACTGCATTATAGAGACTAGTGAACTTCGCGTCGGAAAAAACTGCACGTAGTGTTTTTTCGGTACTGTTTTCGCTCTAATTTTTTAACCGTTTATCAGAACAAGGCGTGTAATATACCGTTGGAAAGCTACGGATTAGGCGCAACTTCGCCATGTTGAACACTTTTCGATATTCCCCGCGGTTTAAGAGCAGTTTCAAAAACGGTGCGGCCCACAATGAGTGGCAGCGAGCGTTTTTTCGCGTTCTTTTCTAAACCGCTTGTCAGAATGAGGCAAATGATACACCGTTGGATAGATATCGTCGAGGCGCATCTTTTTCATAATTATTTTTTTCTCTAATTCGTTACGGTTTAGGAGCAGTTTCAAATTTACTAAATCGCGGAATTCTGTTTTTTAAATTTTTTTAAATTTTCGGCACTGTTTTCGCTCCAGTTTTTTAACCGTTTGTCGAAACAAGGCGTGTAATATACCTTGAAAAGCTATGGACGAGACGCAACTTTTATATGTTGAAATGTTTTTGAGATTCCTCACGGTTTTAAGTTAATTTTAAAAATCGTACGATGAACGACGAGTGACAGCGGCCGTTTTTCGCGAAATTTTTACAAATCGGTTGTCGAAATGATTCAAATGATATGCCGTTGGAAAGATATCGACGAGACACAACTTTTTCATATAGAACACTCTCCCTAATTCCTTACGGTTTAAGAGCAGTTTTAAATTTACCGAAATGCGGACACTTTGTTTTTTCGCGACACCCAAATCGACGTGGGTACTTCATCCGACTGAAAACCGCACTGCTTCAGACGTGTTAGAGAACGACATGGTTTATTTTATTCAAACGTAATTTTTTTAAGGACGAGAAAGTAGAGTGCAATTCACATCGGGTGTAAATGAACCACAACACTATCAAGAAGTGAACAGCATTACTTTTTTTCGCTTTCGTAATAATTTTTTTGCACTTCGGGATGAACAACATCATACGGTCGACCGCACTGATTCAGAATGGAAACCGCACTGCATCGGATGGGCAAGCGAGCTGCATAATTTCTTTTGTCGGACGAGTTTTTGTTTTTTTTCAACTTTTTTATTAACGAGAGTGGACCACAGAGACAAGGGCAAGTGAACCACGACATATATCAAAGTGAACCGCATTACTATCTTATTGGTTCGCTTAATTTTTTCGCACTTTCATGTTGCGGCGAGCAAACAACATCACTCTGAAAAGTGAACCACATTCGAGGATCAAACACACTGCAAGTGTTGATGTGGTCCACTGAATTTTGAGACACACGAAACAAATTGCACTTCATAGAGAGGGGTAATGATCTGCTACACAAATGGATTGAACTACCTTTTTCAATCGTCCCACAAACAAAACAAATTGCATCAGAAAAAGAAGTGAACCTCCCACGGGGATTTTTTTTACAAAGTGAACCACTAAGGGGCACACTGACATACAATTGAGGTGTGTTCGCAAGAAAATTGATGTTTAAACGGAGTGCATGTGTGTGCACCCGGCACTGCATAACCACTAAAAATGCACCGCCACGCAACCAAAATCGCACTACAATATCGATGTATTTATTTTCTCTCTCTTTTTCACAAAGTGAACCATAGATGGATTTACAACAAACTGCACATATATTTGTAAAAAAGAACATAAACATTTTCACTATAAAATTATATTAAACCCCTGAGGGTCGGGGGCGATGGGCCATGTGCCCTGTGCACGGCGCTCACGGTCAATAGAAAGCGCCACCTGGGCCATATACGCCGGCGAGAAGTGAGGAAAAGGTGGAACTAGATGATGCGCACTGCACTGGAACCGCACAAAACCAATTTTTCTATTGGACCACGTCAGTGAGCTGCACACGGGGCATCAACTGCACTGCACGGCCACGCGCATCGAACAATATCGCGTGCCCGCTAGGATTGGACCTCGCTCCTCGCCGAAGGGAGTTTGCACTCCGGGCGCAGGTAGTGGAGGTCGGAGCTTGACATGGCAGAGAGAGGAAGCCGTCCTCGCCGCAAACGAAGCAGCAGGAAAAGGCGGGGCGTGGCCAGCGCCAAGGATTTTTGCAATGAACTGCAAAAGAAAAATTCAGTGAGCTGCAAAAAATACTCAAAGGAGCTGCAAACAGGGGAGATGGTGGAGGCGGATCCAACACTGAACAGCGACTGGTGATTTTGGCTGCCGCAGTCGATGCAGTCCACAAGCACTAGCACACAGGGAAGAACTCGTCATGGTACGGCTTGGCGGAGGGGAACCAGATCGGTGCTGGCAGGGAGCGGGGACGGATAGGAGAACTTTTCCTTCCTCCTCTATGCCCGTGGCCTTGACCGCTGGCGAGGCTGCATCTAGCGAGGAAGGCAAGGGCGCGGCACCGGCGGTGACAGTCCGGAGCACACCTTCATGGAGGTGGTGGCCGCGTGTGGCCTGCGGTGGCAGCCCGGAGCCCCTTGCCTCCCCTGGATGGATCTGGTGGTGGGGTGGTCTGAGTTCCACGTGAGGCACAACTCGCCATGGAAGGGGACGAGGGACCCTGGCAGCCGAGGTTGGTGGTGGCACGATGTGACCGTCGTGGATGCAACTCCGGTCTGGGGAGGGGAAGACAGAGCATCAAGTGCACCGGACGGGACGTGGTGGCGCCATGACCATGGGAAGGAGGAGGAGTTGGGCGCGGGAACGTCGTTGCCTGGTAGTGGCGGAACTGGCGTGGGAGGAGCCGGATGGGGATGGGGCGGCGTCGGCGGGGCAAGAAGCGGGTTGGGGGTGGGGCGGCGTCGGTGTGGGAAGAAACCCAGTGGGGATGGGACGGCGCGCCCTGGAAGAGAAGAAGGTGGATCTGGGGGAGGGGAATCGTGGCAGAGGAGGAGGGAGATGGGGTGTGTGGGCGGGGTTGGTGAGGTTTGTTTTAGATGGCTCGGCTGGCTGTGTGGGTGCGGGTCCAGAGTGTTATCAGAATAAGAGATGGATGGGCAGAATAAGACTCTTAAGTGGTGTTATCATAATAGACCCACCCTATATAATATATATATATATATTATTCTGTTATCTTTTTGAACTGATGATTTCGGGCGATTGTACTGATGTTGTCATTCGGTTGAACTGATCGTTTTTATTAGAAAAGTAAATAAGAGCCCCTTCCCACTCGCTCCCTGTTCCGCCGGCCACTCCAGCCGTCGACCGACTACCCGCGGCCGATCCATCCACCTGCCCGTCTCCCTCCCAGCAACCCAGGCTCCACCCTAGGCCCAGCGACGGGTGTCGGGGCGGCCGCCGGCGGCGACATCGTCCAGCAGGACGACGACGCGCCCAAGATCCCCGGCTGCTCCAACGACTTCTTGCTCGTATGCGCCCCTCTTCCTGCTCCCCGCCTCTCCCGAGCGAGTGGAGCGGCCGGCCCCAGTTTTCGATTTCGAGCCCGTGGCCGGGTGGCCGGCGGTGCTCCGTTCTGGCCGGCGCGCGCCCCCAGAGCCTGTGGAGCCGCCGCTTGCTCGATCCTTGGATTGGAGTTAGGCGGCACAGCTTTTCGTTGCTGGGAATGCCCGAGGAGCTGCGCGCTTGCTCGATTCGTGGATTACGGAGTTAGGCAGCGCAGCTTTTCGTCGCCGGGAATTCAATAAGCCGATCGCAGTAGGTGCTCCGTCTTGGACACTGGAGGAACACCGGCCAGCTCTGTTTTGGAGTTAGGTATTTTTTGTACCGTGAGCAGAGGAGATTCCGTCGCTAATTAATTATACTGCAGTATGTTGTTGCGGGTGGAGCTACTATAGTAGTATTTGATTCAGGGGCTAATGGTTGTTGCTTGCTACTGTATTTGACATGAGACTGAGCACCATATGAGCTATAAAAATGGCAGCTCGTATTTTGCGAAACTTCCATGGTAGGTGGGCAAATAAATTTCACAAAAATTTGTCAAATGCAAAACTTTAAAAGAGGCCAAAGATTTCAGTCCAACGGCGCAAAGCTATCGAAAATGTGAAACTTAGTCATGTTGTACTCGTACTGATCTTTGTGTGGTGTTTGTACTGAGGAGGTATTTTTTTCACAGATTAATTCTGAATGGTTCCGAAAAAAAATACTTGAACGATGTTTTGGACTTCTCGTGTTTTGCGACTTGAACTTTTTCCATTTGAATTTTTAATTTATGGTACTGATGGTACTAGAGAGTTTGTATTTCTCAAAAAATATTCACTCTATGTTCTTTTACTTTTAGTTTTTAATTTTATTTACCACCCTTATCCTTACTGTCAATGTCATCACCATCGTACCTTTATGGTTTATATAATTGAACGGACTTACATTTTTACCATTCCTTCTTTTAAAAGCTTATGTTTTCTTCTCCAAAACTTTCTACCTGACAAGAATCAGAACTTATTTATTTTTTACATTCGTACTTCCAAGTGTCTTTAATGACATTTTCACCTTTTTACTTTGTTTTACCTCATCAAACAGGCGCACAACACATTTGAAGAAACAAAATACGAATCTTAGAAGCAGAAGGGGGATAACCATTGCACAGGACTTCATGTGTGCCTCCATCATAGAAAAATAGACTGAATTTTGCCAAGTTCTAAGGATGAACAAATGAACCATACAGAATATTGTCAAAACCCCGCATTTTTTCTCACTCAAACAAACTTCTGTACTTGCATACAACCCTCTTTGAACTTGGACGGCACCTACTGCTCAACTTGGACTATGACCAGTGCTCAGCTCGAACGGAGGAGGTTGTCGTCGTTGCTTTTTAACCATGAATGCTTCTAAAGACACTGGGAATTGCTTCAAAACTGCTTCCTACTTTTTAACATGAGGGTTCTCTCAGCTGGGCCAAGAAGCAATGCATAAAACATATTTTTATTCTGCAAGAATGAAACACTCCAATAATTAACAACTAATCTATCAGTACATGTAGAACAATTTCAGTTTTGAGAACAAATTTCCATTGACGTGTTAAACTCTGAATCTGTATAGAGGACATGATGGGTCTCAGGCTACTTAGAAAATCTATGAAAAATTGGCAACAGGATTAGCCTCAACATTTTCCACTTGTAAGATAAACATAAAATAGAAGTACTAGCACTGAACTAGTAGGATTACCTAAAACATGGTATTTCCAGTTTGAGCAGAAGAATCTATGAAACCAGATTGCATGTCCAACCACAAACCAAGACTAACATGTGCTGTTTTGCTCAGTCTGGGATGGACTGTCAGTAAATATACCTTATTTTTGTACATACAAGCATATGGAAAATTATAGAATCAACATAGTATACCCTGATATGTAGTTGCACTGACGCTCTAGGAATTTTAGAACTGAAGAAGCACAGACTTGTTGCACAAATAAATAACATATAAATGTGTACTGTCCAATAGCGCCCGTGCCATGTATTCAGAATTTCCTCACACCATTTGTCATACACAAAAGTCATGTATGGCTATCAGGCACAACTTCTATATATAGAAGGGCCAGCAAGGTTCTCAGAAACCAACTAGGAGTACATGATTTCAATCAACTCGATGCTCATCAGTACTAGAATTACTGGACAAGAAGTTTAGATTTGTAGCAGCACACGCACTAAACTTACAGATTTTTCTTGAACTTATTTAGGTGACTGAAGACAAGCAATGAAAGATCTGGGTCAAGTAAAGATGTTTCTCTGAGCATTCTAGTCATCCCTCTCATCCCAACAAGGACCTGCAGAAAGTAGACACATTGTTCAGAAATTGGTTGGGTACCCATACTTTTGTACTGAGGTAAACCTTTTCATTGAACTGTTGCCAAATTTTCAGAGAGTAAGGGTTATGCTCGAATCAACCTTCAGTACCTCTGTACCTTTGCTAGTCACTGCACTAAACTAAACTTCAGATAGAAAATAAGGTAACAATAGCAGCAATTGGTAGCTGCTTAGTAGTGGGCATGCATCAGCAGCAGCAGAAAAGGATGCGGCTGTGTCGTGCAGTCCTAGGTGCAGCAGCAGCTTGCAGCAAGGAGCGGCTTGCACTCAGATCCTTGAGCGACCGGCCATAGAGGAAGCAGTTGTACTGTTGAGCTGGAGGTCCTCGACCCCGCGACTCCTACAGCAGGCTCCACTTTTTTGCCGCTGAAGCATAAGCCATGGCCTTGGAGCGGGACGCGTCCTTGGCGGCGACATTGAACGGACAGGGCTGGCGGTAGGGAACTGCTTGTACGCGGTGGCAGGGAAATTGAAAGTAGAAATTGGACAACATAGGTACATCAAGTAATTGAACTGACTGAAGAAGAAATAATAAGTAAACAATACTCTTTTCTGTTATCTAGCAATAGCAAATGTTTTCGATTTTAAAAATGATGTATGACACAAGCAAAACTTGATACAGATTGTATGGACCCACAAGATATATAGACTAAAGTAAGAATTGACCTCAAATGAATCTAGAATAAGTTTTGGACTGAGCTAAATTTAGAAATTGGACTGAACTAGAATTAGAAATTGAACGGAACCAAGTATAATGCACTGAAAAGAACACACATGTACACAAACTGATTATAAAAGACGAACACGACCTGACAACAAGGACACACATGAACTGACAAGAACATACCGGTCATTAACAGATTATAAATGGTGACAACACATCATAGCAGCTTGCGATGACAGCGGATTAGAACAACACTTTCAGCACAAAATACATTGTAGGTGTGTATTGGAGCTTTTCCATTACCTCGTGGTGTGCTTGCCCACCAAAGGCGAGGTGTTCCTTCTGCATCCCTACCGCATGCCGCAGCGCCGAAGTATGAACTGGAGCGGCACTCCGCACTCGACCTAGGCCTAGCACCAACAATCCAGCAAGAGATGATATATGTAATGCAATTAGTTTTCCCAAATTCTTAGTTCAACAATTACATACTAGTATCCCAATCCCGAACAAACTAGATTACATAGGAATAGCACCAACGAGGTAAACTGGATTATACTTCTGATGTGAGTTTTTCTTTTGAACTTATATGGTTCCCTTCTCTGAATTGTTGCAGTAATTTGACTCGAACTTATAGCCTCGGTGGAGGACTAGACTCGAACTTGTAGCCTCAGTGGCGCACTAGACTCGAATTTGTAGCCTCGATAGTCAGAATTGTTGAGCTTGGACGGGCAAGGGAGGTAGAGCTGGACTTTGGTAAGCACCATACCTGGACGGGGACTACGCTGAAGCAGTGCATGGGGGCTGGTTCCCGACCGCGCAGGGATAAGCAGTCGGGAGGAAGCACGGGGGAGGCGGTGGTGCCCGTGTTGGTGAACGGCGGCGAAGTGGAGGTGGGTACCTGGAGTCACGGTGGAGGCAGTCGAGAGGAAGGCCGCCGTCCCTCCAATCCGGGTGTGGGCGGCGGCGCTCGAATCCGTGGACGGGCACCGGCTCTCGAAGCTGGGGGTGGCGGACGGGGAGGGGCCAGCGCCAGTCGGCGGGGAGGCGTCGGCGCGACGCCCGTCGGAGGGAAGGTGCGCGGGAAAGGGCCGGCGAGCCCGTCGGCGGGGAGGCGTGCGGACGGCCAGCCGGCGGCAGCGCGTGTGTCGGAGGAGCTACCCGTCACGGCGCCGTGGGCTCCCTCGCTCTGGCTGCCGCCGTCGCTCGCTCGCCCGCGACGGCTGGCTCCGGCGGTAGAAGGCGGGTTAGATTGAGACGGGTCGGGGAATTTCTACTATCGTCTGCGCGTCGCACTCTTATAGAGACTGAGAGTAACAGAATAATATTCTGTTACCGGTGGTAACAAAATAGTCCAGCCCTATATATATATATATAGGACAGCACTATTTTAATCCCGCAATTAGAATAGTTATTTGGATCACAGCCTCTTATATAGCAGCGATCGGGTTGTTCCCAAACTCCCGAACTAGTACATCCTTGTAAAAAAACACCCCAGGCCTGATCAACCTCCCACCCCGACCCCACGATTCCCACCTCCCCGCATCCCCTCCGCCGCCCTCGCCCCGCCCAACGCCGATGCCGCCTCGTCCCCGACCACCGGTGCCTCCTCAGATCCGCCGCCACCACGCGGCGGCCAGCTCCCCCGCCAGGGATCCGCTGGGGACGGCGGCGGCCCGATTCCCTCCCGTGGCCAGCCACCTCCCGCTCCGCCCTCCACTTTGGCGGCTGCCGGCGGCCTTCCATCCGCGCTGGAGTTGCCCCACTCCTGGGTCCGGCCGCCGCGTCACCCCGCTCCTGGGTCCGTCCGCCGCGACGCCCCGTGCCTGGGTTCGGCGGCCGCGCTGCACACACCCCTCGATCCGAGCACACGAGCGCCGGCCTCCACCAGCAGCCCCCAGGCGCGCAGCCCAGCGGCCCACGGCCCCATCCCCCGACACCGTCCTCCCTAGCTGTCTCACCTTGGACGTCTTCCCTCTTCTGCCTAGAACTTATCCAACCTCTTGCCTCGTCGTCTTGGCGTTCCTCTTGCTAGCCAGTACATCTCGTAGGTGAACCAGAAGGTGCAGGTGCAGAGCTAACCTGTGCAGAAACGGAGGAAAAACGATAAAAAAGGGTTGGCAGATCCAGTCGAGCAAGCTGTGGAAGAACAGCTCTGTATTTGTATTTGTTTGATGTATTTGTTGGCCTCCTCCCTCTTGTTCTGTCCTCCAACGATCCATCCGGGCATGCGTCGTCAGTGAAGACAACGATACTTCTTGCAGCAAAAACTGCAACATTTCTTCAGTAAATTTCCAAAAAATATTTGCAGGAGTTCTCCTCTATCAGTTCAACAAAATAACTAACAGCAGTTTGACAGATCCACGCCTGGAAGGAAGACTTCGTATGAGCACCTGCCGCCGATCATCGACCATGTTCCCAGGTAGCCATCCCGCCAGTGCCTCATCGTCCCTGAGGCCGCCCCTTCTCTAGCACGCAGCACCTTCCAGAAGGTGTGCGTGTGTGATGCTGCGTGCCGTGGCGGTGAGCGTGGCCGTGGGCTTGCGCCTGTTGTGCATGCGTGCTGGCGCGCTGTGCGCTCCCTGTGTGTTGTGTATGCAAGTGGTGCGCGTGCATGTAACGGCTCGGTGTGCTTCCATAGGCAGCCTGTGTGATTGCTACTGCCTAGTGCTACTACTGTTGACGCTTTTCCTTGGAATGTACTTGTGTATTTCTTTCTCTGAGTTTGCCTATTTGACCAATTGAATGATATGGTGTGGATAAATTATACTTTGTGGATGTCCGACATTAAAACACTTCCCCTAATTTTGAAGTAAAAACATTTGGGAAGTTTTTTGGCCATGAAAGTTCAAATGTCGTCGTATGCTAAAGTTCAGATGTTCGATAAATAGCCAGTTGACATAGTATAGAAGCTGAGTGGAACTACATGGAGATGAACTGTACTTTAATAAGAGATACACGTTAGTAATGTTTAAAAAAAGGTCCTTAAAAACATCCATATTCCTAGTTTTTCGCTCCATTCGGTTTTCCAAAATGTAAACAAAAAAATCATGGAATTCAAAGAATAAAAACTATGGAGTTTCATGAAAAAATTAATAGCACCCAACTTCATGTTTAAGAAATTCCGAAGCTCACGTGTACCACGTACAGAAGAAAAATGATCAAATGAAAAATGGACCGCCTAGGCCATTTCACCGAGAAGCAAAAATGCATAAAAATGTCGCAACAAAAATCTATAAGAATTTAAAACTTAAAAACCGAAGCAGGTCAACATTAAAAAAATGAAGTTTTTAATGTCTAAAAGACAAATTTGGAAGTTCAAAAATTTTGAGCAAGAAGTTAAAAAAAAGTAGTTCAAAAATCTTTATAACGGATTTTCCCAGTTTGTAAAAAAAATCAATGAAGCTCAAATTAAAAAGTGGAGCATTTCAAAAGATTGTATAAAAACTAATTTTCCCCATTCTATAAAAACTATTAAGTTCAAAAGAAAAAACGGCGCGGTATCATTGTTCATATAAAAAAGAATTTTCCCCGTTACTAACCAATAAAACTAAGAAGTTCAAATTTTTAAAGTAGTGAAGTTCGATGTCTATAAAAAAATCGGATTTTTCATATTGTTAAAAAATAAAACCAAGAAGTTCAAAAATTAATAACAAAGAAGTTCAAAAAACTCGATTTTTCTCGTTACTAAAGAATAAAACTAAGAAGTTCAAATTAAAATAATAGAGAAGTTCAAGTACTGCAAGAAATGCATTTCAGGTGAGAAATAAAAGTATAGAAAAATAAAAGATTAAAAGGTTTGTTGAAAGAAGTTCAAGTGCTCTGTCCGGAGAAGTTCAAAAATTATGGCGAGAGAGGTTCACCATGTATTTCCATGTTCGATTTTTTCCGTATAAAAATCGAATACAATTCTTTACTCAAAATATAAAAAGGTGAAGTTCATATTGAAATAACAGAGAAGTTCGGAGTTTATTAAAACCTAGAATTTACCTGTTCAAAAAATAAAAAATACAATGCCATTTTTTGCACTTTTAAAAACAACTCATAAACAAAAAAATGGTTGCTAGAAGTTCAAGTGCTCTGCGAGGAAAAGTTCAAAAAATTCTTGTGAGAGAGGTTCACCGTGTATTTAGAAGTCCAAAATACATAAAAAATATATTATTTTTTGTGTTTTAAAATAATTCTCTCAAACCAGATAGAAGTTCAAAGTGATAATAACCAGAAGTTCATGTACTACATAGTGTGTATTTCATATAAGAAAAAAAACAATAAATTGAAACAGAGTGAAGTTCAAACAGACATGGCCAAGAAGTTCAACTACTTCACACAGTGCATTTCCATTTGCGATGAAGGCAAAAATTATGATATCGTCATTTTCTAATTTACTTCAAAACATGAGGAATATCATTTGTGTAAGTTTCAAGTCCTCGTCGGAGAAATTTAAAAAAAATTATCAAGAGAGAGGTTTGTACAAAAATAATAACATTTATGTGACACTCACGAATGAATGAGAAAATTACAAAGAAAATACGTCACAGAAGTTCAACGTGAAAACAATAGGAAGTTCGACTACTATAGTGAATGAATTTGAGATGAAAAACTTTTAAAATTGTCGCGAGTATGAAAAAACGATCAACACGGGAAAGTTGCGTGTTTACAGCAGCTTTCCATCGGTATATCACTTGCTCAATTCCAGTGAGTGGATGGAGAGCTACGAGCAGTGGATGGAGAGCTACGGGCAAAAAAAGCACGTGAAAACAGAGTGAAGTTCAAGTAGACATGCCGAGAAGTTCAGGTTCTTCACGCGGTGTATTTTCGAAGAATCTATTTCGCGATAAAGGCAGAATGAACGATCTCGCCATTTTCGAAATTACTTGAAAACGGCAAGGAATCACAGAAAACCATCAACATGAAAAAGTTTTGAATTTTCTGTAGCTTTTTAGCGTTATATTATTTGCCCCATTCCGATAAAGTTTGTAGAAATTATGGCAACAATATGTTTTTAGTCATTTTCAAAACTGACATAAAACTGTAATGAATTAGGAGAAACAATATATACAAAAATGTTTCGCATTTCTTCAAGCTTTCCAACGCCATATCATTTGCTGCATTTGGATGTACGGTTAAAAAATTAGCTCGAAAATACGAACTCGGTGGAACTTGTACCATTTTTGAAATTACTTTTAAACCGTTCAAAATTAGAAAAACTTTTAAGATGCAAAAGTAGCGCATTTTCATAAGCTTTCCAATGCCATATTATTTGCCTCAATTGGATTAGCCGTTTAGAAATGGCATCAAAAAATACAAACTCGGGTGTTCCATTTGCGAAATTCTACGATTTTCCGAATTACTCTTTAACCGTAAGGAATTAGAGAAAACTTTCAACATGTGGAAGGAGCGGGTTTGCAGCAGCTTTCCAACGCCATATTATTTGCCTCATTCCAATAAACGGTTTAAACGAAAATATGATTCACATTTTTTGTATGAAGAAAAAACGGTTTCAAAACTGCTCTTAAACCGCTTGCATTTTGCCAAAAATTTAACTTGGGTCATGATACTGATGTCCATAGCTTTCCAACGGTATATCGCAAGCCCCATTTGGACACCTTTTAGCTGAAGTTCAACCTAGTACTCGGGGAAGGTCAGGCGCGTTACTCGGGAAGTTCATGTTGTGATCAGAATATTATTCTGATCCCGTGATCAGAATAGTGTTTATGTATGTATACATATATATATATATATGTATGTATATATATATCGATTACTCTTATGTCTCTCAGATATAGACACCTCACTCTTTATCAGAAGCCCACCACCTCGTCCCCACTCCCTTCCCCCACACAAGCCTTTCTCTCCCCCGGACAGAAACACGGGAGCACATTAATCCCCCCTCTTTCCTAAGTCTGAACCCCATTATAGGTCTCTATCATTTTTGTCTCTCGGGCATGCACACATCTCTTCCCCCACTCTCTAGGTCTCCCGGCATCTCTCTTGCCCAAGCACACACACTATTTAACAGTGTACCATCCCCATACAGACAAAACGTTGCCCCAAACATATATCTCCCTTGCTATGTGGTTCTCGCACACTCTCCACAATCTCTCTATCTCTCCCTCGCATTAATTGATACAAACCTCACTCACCACCCCACTACACACAAGCACCCTTTGTCTCCTTGTGTACCAATGTCCTCTTTCGATCTCTCCCACATGTGGTCCCGACCCAGCTCCTTGCCTATATACATATATGTCGTGACTCTTTCCATAGCTCCCGAGCGCAGCATTGGTCTCAATCTCGCATGTTGTTCTCTCCACCATCTATTCTAGATCACTCATGAAGTCTCTATCACGGACACAACGACTCGCTTTCCATGTGTCTCCGCACATAGGCCACTTTCGAACAACATCAACCTTGTCTCCCTATCTATATGCCACTTTCGCACACAAATGACCCCTCTCTCCCCCTCTCTTCCTATCTATATATCTCCCTCTCTCTCTCTCTCTCTCTCTCTCTCTCTCGCGTGCACCCCTCTCTCTCACACACTCAATGTCTCTTCCGAATAGTATGCTACCCGCCCGCACCCATGCTATCTCGCTGCTACTGAAAGTGCAACTAATCCCGGTGTGGTTTTGGTAATTCATAGCTGTAACATCCCAAAATTCTAAATTTTGGAATGTTATATTAAATAAATAGATTTGATTGATTGTTTGATTGTGGTGTGGTTGCTTGTGTGAAATTGAGTGAAATTTGAAACTTTGAAAGTTAAATGAGAGGGAATAAAAGGACTTTCCCAAACATTCATTTTTGCATTTATGATCTCCATGAATTCAAATTTTATTTTCAAATACAAAACCCTAGAGAAAAGATGACATGACTTCTTCCATTTAAATAAATGAAAAGGGTTTTGAAAAGATTTGAATTCCATTTGGA